TTGTCGAGCGACACATCGCACATTGTCAGTCACTCTCCCCCTCTCTCTCCCTCTCCCCACACAATTCGGACAGGAAAAACAATATACCCTTCCCGCGGAAGATTACACGTAGATAGGCAGCGCGCTAAAAAAAAATCGAGCGTGGTGGAGGTGTCACGGAACAGTCGATTCATCCACAGCCGTTTCCCGCACGTGAATGTGAAACAGTGAAACACAAACCGGCGACTTTAATTAATTCCTCGTTCCGTCCACCTGCGCGCTGCGTGTGCGGCCGCGGCCCGCCTTTTTGATAGGCTGCCTCTCTGTCCACAGTCAAGTTCCGGTTCCCTTGCGCAATTCACTTTCTTCCACTTCGACCTACGTCCCTGAGGAAGAGGACGTCCCGTCGCCCTGTCTCTGTCGCACTCCCGGGGCGGTCTGCGCGGGTGCGAGAGAGACAGAGCGACGACGGTTCGTAATCGTTAGGCTGTGTCCGGCGCCGCGGCGCGTCGCGTGACCGATGGGGGAGGAGCGCGCCGCGCATCGCGGTGATGGACCCGCGGGACCGGCCGAGGCTTGGCCGGGCTTGGCCGGGCTTGGCGCGATGCACGTGCGTTGTTGCGTCCTAGCATTCCGAACAGCGCTTCTCCTCTGTCTCTCTCGCACTCGTGGGGCGTCCCCTAGGTGCGCGGGAGGGAGAGAGAGAGAGAGAGACGGCACGCAGGATGCGCCTAGAGCTTTCCTTCTCCCTTTCATCTCGAAACCAAACCATCCCACGCTCTAGGGCTCCACACTGCGCTGCGCTGCGAGGCACACTGGCCGCACGAAATGCGGCGTGAACATCATAAAGTACCACCGCGCGCACGGAGCACCGCGAAGCAACGCGAAGCAACGAAAAACGCCTTTACGTCACTGCACCCGGGGCACCTGCGCGTCGTTGGCTGGCGTCGTGTGGGCGTGGCGGCGCGGCGGCGTGGCCGGCGGGGCGTGCAGGACGTGCCTGCCGCACGGGCCTGCCGGGCCTGCCGGGCCCCGTGGCAGAGCAATGCAGTGGACCAGATGGGCAGTTTAGGCTGACGTTCACTTTGTCAGCTCCACCGCCAAGTAGGACTGGAATCAAACGCACTGAGGTGCCCCTTTTTCCAAATCGTCCCAACCATCGACAAAACTCGGAGTTTTAGTGGGTTGTTTCGACGCGAATGTCGCAAGGCGGAGATCTCTGCCGCTCCATAAGCCCTAGTCTCATGGGCTCACTGTGCCGGCGAGCCTGGGCGAGACAGGGGCCCTCTAGTCGTCTAGTGGCGTGGCGCGGCCGACCACGGAACACGCTCAAGCGCGGCGTGCGGGCGACGGCGGGCATTATACCTGCGGGCTGGTTCTGGAAGGCGCCTTCTCTCTCGCGCCCCTGTGGAGCGCCCAGTGAGTGCGACAGAGGCAGAGCGATGACAGTGTCCGGACTCGGCGGGGCAGCAGGCCGACCACCCTCCGCAGTGACCCAAGGGGCTGGTCCGACAGGAAAGGAGGCCCCGGCATCATGCACTATGAATGAGTCTTGAGGCCGGTGAGTGAGGGACACGATTCCGGACTTCTCGGCGCCCGCTGGAGACAAGGCTCTGCGTGCGTCAGACAGTGCAGGGGAAGTTCCGGTCCAAATTTGAGGTCGCGGTGCGCGGCGTGAAGAGGCGACATTCCTAGGGTGCCTTGCCCACGACCAGGGCGGCTGGGCTAGCCAAGGGGCTAGGCTCCCGAGACTCCCGTGGCGTTGCTGTTGCGTCAGGCCGTGCGTCAGCCTCGCCCTGTCTCTCTCGCACCCCTACGGAACGCCCCCAGAGACAGGGCGACAAGCACTGTTCGGAATCGTTCTACATTGACGGCTGGCTGGAAAATAAAAAGTGTCAACAACACCTCCTGGGGGGTGTTCAGTGGCTGTTTGAATTCGCGTTGGACTGAGAGAAGGGGAAACCTCATGAAAAATTTAAAGAATTTCAGAGTCCAACTCCGGTTTGCTCAGAGTCTTTGAAGTCTCTCTGTCGACCGGCGCGCGGATCGCTCTGGGTGAGACCGTTGAAAAATTGAGAGCCTGGATTCGACCGCAGTCCCCTCGGGACAGAAGAACGAGCCCCCTGCCCTCGGCTACCACCGGGATGCCATTCGCGTTTGAGTTGCTTGCCAAAGAGCATAGTGTGAATGCCGATTTTTACGAAGCGTGCTTCTGGGTGCAGTATTTTTTCACCCGTCTCCACGCGAGTCCCGAAAAGACGGCAAATTTTTGTGGCCGCCTCGTCACGCTTCCCGAAAGAGTCACGGAATCGTGGAGCCAGGTGCCGAAGTGCGGAACGCACAGCACCACTCGTTGACGGCGCCGTTAAAACCTGCCGAGCACGGCACTGTTGAGAATAAAGTTACCCAGTACACCAGTGGTCATTCGAGAACCAAGAATTTTAAAAAGCGAAAGACTTTTTCCTTGCAAACGCTACGAACCAAACTTCGCCGGTACGGTTACACCGGGTTACACCCAGAAAATGACTTTAGACTTTTCCATCTCGTGTGGTCATGCCTGATGATTCCCTGAGAGCCACCTTGGCACGACGACCGTGACGGTGGCCAAAGCTTTTCCTGCGTGTGCGGTCTCAGCGCGTCCCCTCGCCGTCTTCACAGCAGCGTTAAATAATTCCGGCGTTTTCCACGGCCAGCCCCGCGCAAATCCGATCAAGCCGCCAAAAAGGGAAAGACGAGTCCCGTCGAGGGGGAGGGAAAAAGTAAAACGCCGTGAGCCGCCAGGGAAGCGAAATAGGAGTCAAGACTCCTGGCCGTGTCATGGCGGCGTGGGCCGTGGGGGCCAGGTGGGTGTCGATGGCGTCTTTGGGGAGCCATCCAGGGCGGCGCGGGGCGCTGAGCGGCGCTGAGCGGCGCTGAGCGGGGCTGAGTGGGCTCGGGTGACGGGGCACGAGGCCCCACCTGCGGTATAGTTCGTCTCGTGACGAGGCAAAGGCTGCCGTGATTGGCTGCGTGCCGAAACGGCAGCAGGGCGGTCACTGCACCGGCCGCATTGTTCCGAAGGGGCGCCGTCTCTCTCGCACTCACGGGGCGCTCCCTGCGGCAGCGAGAGAGCAACGGAACCATCTTTCGGAATCAGGCGGCCCTGGACTCCCGACGCGCCTGATTAATTTTCTATGTGGATGCGCCCCGGCGTGGCGTGCCGTGCCGCCGGGTGCATAATCCCCCAGCATTACGTGGATGGACCCAACCACACATTACGATTGCGGTTCGGCTCACGGACTGTGACCACGTAGGCAGGACGTGTGGCCACGTTTAGTCAGAAGGCACCGGCCGGGCCGGGCCTCAGCAAAAAATGAAACGAGAAACGGCACCGCTTTGCGTCGCGACTTGATTCCGTCAAAGCAATCGATTATTCGATGAACGAAATCCAACCCCTCTGACATTGAGTAAAAAAGATTTCTTGATTTTTATTATTCGAAAAACTAGTCTAATTTTTTTGGCTGGGTCGAGCCAGTCCCGGCGTGCGTACGGGGAAGATTAGCATGCAATTAATCAATGTTGGTATCAAAAACAAGCCAGCAGCCATTTGCTTTAGCGGAGCGGCGCTCTCCGCTGCAATGGACTCCAACCACAAAGCGGTCCGCCGCCCCCGCTCTCCGGGGAGGGGGAGGGGGAGGGGGAGGGGGAAGGGGACGCAGCGGCCGACTCGCTTGATTTTTCATGCCGTTTTCGGGTTTTCGCAGATGATGACCCCCAACAGCAGGCACTTTACATGAATCCCGGTGGTTTTGGCCGCGGGCCGCTGGGCTCGTGGCGTCGCGCCAGCGGGGCAGGGCGGGGCGGGGCGCACATTTTCACCCTTTCCCTTTCCACCGACAGCGTTTCGGCGCGTATTTTTGCCGCGTTTTTTTGTCCCGCGGCGCCGAAGATTGTTGAGGCAAGGATCACGGCGTGCTAGCAAGCAGAGGCTGGTGCATCAAAGCGCCGATGCAAACAATAGCAGCCCGGAGGGCGTAGACCGTTCCTCAAACACCGCCAAACAGAAACGGAAACCAAATAAAACGCTTGTCCAAGCAGACGTCTGTGAGACGACCGTTTTGATCTGGACATCTCGTTGCTGTGCTGTGCCCGAAGTTCGCTGTGCTCCCAACCACTGATGGTACTTTTCAAGTCATCCTCAGACTTAAATATTTCCAGTAAATCGGGGGTCCAATGGCCGGCCGCGTGGCCTTTCAGGGTGCGGGGTGGCGCGCGGTCAGCGATTTCAAGCGAACTGATTTTGCGAGTGGAGTGGGGCGACTCTCTCTTTCTATCGCACACTCACGGGGCGTCCCGTATCGATGCGAGCGAGAGAGACCGCTGCAGGGGAGAGAAGGGATTCGGGAAAGGTTCTGCTCCGGGTCGTTTCACAGTGAGCCACCCGAGGTCCGTTTCCCGCTGACGCCGCCGTGGCCAGTGCTGCAGGACAGGTATTATCGGCAGGGCACAGCCTTGGCGCAGCCCACAGCCCTGAGCCCTCCGTTCCGGCTCACCCACCTGACCGCCCTCTTCAACAAGTGTCCCCTTCGGCTCCAGTCCAAAAAATAAATAAATAAATAAATCATATTTTCAACAGGAGAGGGTTCGGAGTTTGAAGGGGCGAGCCAATGGGAGCGATGCGGCGGCGTGTCGGGAGGTTTCAAAGCAATTAAAAGCACGGTGTTACTTGCTGCGATGGAATGACCAAAGAGCAACACACACACACACACACACACACACACACACACACACACACACACACACACACACACACAGAGTTCCACTTGTTCGTGCGTATGTCGGATGACTCCCATTCGCGTGGGATTCATTCAAACAATTGATTGCTTTTGACGAAATCACGTCCGTCCAGACCTTCCCCCTCAGGCCAACCAATATTTTTTTTTTTTGCGGGAGTGAGGAGAGGGTTGTCGAAATAGCGTTGGAAGTGGATGAGAAATATTGTGAAATGGTGTCAAGAGTGACCTCCTTGTTGTTTGTTCCAGCTGCTGGCCGAGAGCGACGCCGCCCCGCTGGAGCACCCGGCCTACGACCAGCGGGTGTTCTACAAGCGGGAGGCGCCCTTCCCCGTCGACATGAAGGAGTCGGCGCAAGGCCCGGCGGCCGGCGGGCTGCACCGCGCCGCCGCCGCCAACCCCGCCAACTGAGGTGCCGGGGGTGACCCCGGGGCCTGGCCCTCGCCCCGGCCCCGGGGCGGCCCTGGGGCCCGCTGGGAGGGGAGCCTCTTCGCCGAAGCACGAGCCCGATCGGCATAGACAACAAGACAACAACCAGCTCGCGGAGCATGGGGCAATCCGCACTTTAGAGTCAATCGTTCAAGGAAAACAATGTTTCAAAATTTACACTTTGGAAAAAAAATGTCTGAGCGTTGAAGAGGTTCCCCTTCCAACTTCTTTTTCTCACTTCTTATCTATTGTCCTTGAAAGACTTACCGGAGTTTCAACGTCCTTTCCTCAGCCCTAGCAGAAACTTGGCGGGATGTTTTCAATGAGTGGCAGATTGTATATTTTTCTAGAGAGATAGACAGAGTATTCCACGGCGCACATAGAGAGTTGGTACTAATCGAATATGTTTTGCTGCCACTGGCTGGAGAGCAAATTTTATTTATGATCGAATCTGGCCATTCACTGGAAACATCCAAGATGCCCACGAAACTTCATTTCGAAAACATGCACAGAGTACTGTAGTTCCCCACAGAGATAATATAGTAGTGTTAGAAGTAGGTTATTGACAAAACAGAAAAATAGCTATAAAATAGTACTGTTATTCAAAGTTTATGAAGATTTCTGAAAAGTTAAAACTCTAATGCGTTTGTGTTGCGAAAATGGTACCTCAATATTGTGCCAATGCTGGTAAGTTAAATATTGTGTTAAAAGGCTTTGTCAATAGTTGTTCAAAAAGAATCTTGCACGCTGTTAGCTAGGTCATGCAACGAGACACACTCTAAATTCTTATCATATCTTTCTGGAAATGGTAAATCAGAACTTAACAGAGCATACCTATGATCATTATGTTTAAGAAATGCTGTTATTCCCCACCCTTTGTACCCGCAGTTCTCAATGTTGCTGCTGTGTTCTCAAGGCGCCGAGACAAATATTATGTAACAACGGATTTTGTGCCTTTTAAAATTACTGTATCTCTTTTCTTTTTTAACGCGTGGCTATTGTAAAGTTTCTCATTGAATATTTTAACGTAGGTGTGTCCAAACATCAACTAATTTGTGTGTTGTTTAATTACTGTGCTCGTCAAAGAAAACTTCCCCTAATAAAGCTGCAAATCCCGAAAAAAAAAGAGTCTTTATTTTTCCTGTGCTCAAAGATGCAAATGATAAACAAAATTAGAAAAAAGGAAACAAAACAAAATCGATCAGGGTGAATAGCTTAGATACATCAGACAATGAAGCAAAGCTGCCTGATGCAGATTAGGCGCGTGGGTGTTGCAACACCTACAACGGCACAACAACTGCCGCTCGGTCTCTCACGCACCGCAACTAGCGGCTCTGTCTCTGTCACACCAACTGATGCAGTGCCAACTGCGCAATAAAAACAACACCACCGGAAAAAAGCGACGGCCATTTTCACCGTTTCTTTACGGAGCGTGGCGCGGCACTGCTATATAGAGGTCAGGGGCCCTCCTCGCCGTCCCCGCCGTCTGCCGGGTAGCGCCGGCGTTGGAGCCGAGCCAACCTTCAAATTGCACCGAGTCTAAACTTTTGGCCGTCTCGAGCACGCTAGCACGCTGGAAAACGAGCGCCACAAGAAGGGCTCCGTGCGTCCACGGATGACGACATCGGGGGAAAGGGAATAAAAATGGGGGGGGGGGGCGAGATGACGCACGGGGGTTTATAGCGAATGCATTAGAAGGCTACGTTCAGTCTGATGACATCGGGAAGAGGGGTGGTGGGAGGGAGTCAGAGACACCCCAAATTACGATGACGTCACGAGCAAATGGGTTTGTCTGTGCGAGCGCGTGTTGTGCGTGTGCGTGGACGGTTCTCGTGCCTTCCACAGTCACACACACAAACACACTCATGGCACACTGCTCCTTTTGTTCGGCGTGGGGTGGCAAGAGTGGCGTTCGCAGCCCTGATCGACTCGTTGCAAAATAAAACGTGCGCCGGCGGGCCCAAGGCGGGTCCGGCCGCGACAGGCGCTGGGCGGCACAAGAGTATCGCCTTTCCAGCAGGCAAGCCGAGTGGCTGCTTGGACTTTCCGGTAGCCGTGGCTCCGGGGTGTTGTATTGGCCGGCATAGCAGCATTGGCGCCCTCCTCCCAGGGGACCCTTGGACGGGGCGCTTCGCCGCTCCGGCGGGGACTCTTTAACTTGGCCGGAGCGCTGCCCTTTTTTCGCGCCCCGGGGTAATGGTGTGTGGCGCCCGTTCGACATTAGCCTCCAATCCGGGCTCCGACGCCGCGACCCTGCAACGGGCTGCCTCCGAACGGTGCTCTCGGTCTATCTCACACTCATCGAGTGACTCGGTGGGTGTGAAAGAGACAGGCCGAAGAAAACTCTGTTTGAATCAGCCTTTCCGGTGTTCGCGCCCACCTCCTCGCAGCAGCCCCTGCCGGCCCATTCTGTGGCCACACGGAACCCTCGCCGAAGACGCCCGCCACGGCGTGCCCGACGAAAGGGACGAGCCGAATCTGACTGCATAATGCCTCCCTTTGAATATCGGGAACGGACGCGCAAAAATCTAGGACGCTTCGCATGAATAATATTCGGTGCAACGGGGGAACAGGGACGGGGGTGTCGTGGAGGAAGGGGAGAAGAAGGGGGTTGGTGAGGCCCCCAGGGGTGGGGGTAATATGTGGCGAAGAGGCTGCCCGCCCTCGCCGTGTGATGAGGTGTGGCCACTTCATAACGGCTAATCTCCTCCCACGATCTCAATCTCGATGCTGGCCTTGCGCCTGCCGAGCCTGCGGAGCCTGCGGAGCCCAGATCACGCAAATTGCGACTCCCAGAGTGTTGCTAATCTCCTGCTGCTCGGGGCGCAGCGGCGCAGCGCTCCGGTGACGTTGGGATCGAGGACCCAGAGGGCCTGTCTGCCAGAGCGCTGGAGGAGGTGCAGGTAATTGGCGCGGAGGTGCATCATCGCAAGGAGGTGGGGGGGGGGGGAGTGATGGCGTTGTCGTTCTTTAATCCTTTAGTTGCTGGCGTCACCAGTAGTAAGGACCCCCTATGTCGCGAGCCACCATCTGTCCCGGATTTCTGTTGTCAGTAGTATGGATGCTCCACAGTCACGGTCCGCCATTTTTGATCTTGCCAGCATCCTTCGTGTGGCATTCGTCCCTCAGTGTATCTGCCGTGTGATTGCCTAAGAAGATAGTTGTTCCGTCAGATGATGACTCATTTGTGATCCAAGCTTAGCCACCGTCGCCCGTAGTAAGGATCCCCAGCAGTTACCGGCCGCCTCTTGCTCACCTCTTGCTCCTTGGAGCCTCGCGGTGTATTTAAAAACGGGAGCCGCTTAACACAGTCCGGCTGGGGCTGCGGTGATAACCAGGCCCCTGTTTGATATGGAAATACAGCGTTTAAGAAAACGGCCCGCAAAAAAAGGAAGCGAGAATGGCTTCGCTGGACGCGTTTTGGCGCCAGCCTTAGGACCCGCGAGCGTGCAAGCCTCGGGTGGCGACCGTAACGTGGAGGGTGTTTACAGATCGACCGTTATAATTCACCAGGCGTGGGCGGGGGGGGGGGGGGGGGGGAGGAAGCGACTCGCCGTTACGCGGGATGGGGCGCGCTTCGTTTCGGCGTCTCGGGGCGACACACGAAAACTACGCCGGACGTCAACAACTTTGACATCAACTTGAACAGAGGGCTGCTGAGAGGGAGGCTGTGCGTCTTAGCGCAGCGCAACGAAGCCGGATGGACCGAGCGGCGACAGCGTGACAGCTGACTCATAGGGAGGCCTCTCTCTCGCACTCATGGGGCGTCCCGCGTGGGTGTGAGAGAGCGGGCTGACGGGACCCCCGCAGCTCGTCCTGCAGCAGGGGCGGCGCCCCGCCCCTCGCAACATGCGAGGGTTGCCTAGCCTTGACATTTCTCGCGGACGCACACACACGCTCGCACACACAAGGTCTGCGTACTTCGAGCAAGTGCAGCAGCTTCGCCGGGCCGTTCTGCGACAAGAGTCCCCAGCGGGGTAGCAGTGCGCGAGCGAGGCGCGAGCCAACCCCCTTGCAGCATCCCTGGAGGGGCCCCTCTCTCGCTCCCTCTCACGCCCCCCTCCTGCTCCGCCGCTCCCTCTACCGCCCCGCTCCCAGGTCCGGGCGGGGCGTCTTAGCGGGCTGGACTCCACTCAGTTTATTTTGCAGTGCGTGGGCGCCTAGCTGGTGTCTTGGCGGTCTTGGCCATGCCAGGGGGCGTGGGCGTGGCGTGGCAGCCGGCCTCCGCGACGCACCGCTAACAATTTATTAATTCTGGATAAATGATAACCTGCTCCGAGGAGAGACCCGAACCCTTGTGCTCAAGCAGCGGCGCTATGGCAAAACACACTGGTGGGCCAGACGACTCCATAATTTTTGCAAAGTGAAATAAAATTTTTTTAGCAGATGATACCTTCACACTTGAAACATACTTAAAACAATTTTAATTACTGTCTTTGGAATGGCAATGAGCCCGCATACTACCCCGTATAAGGAAACCGAACGAGTATTGACTGAGAAATTTGAAAGGGAAAAGAAAAAAATTTGAACTCTACACCCCCTCCCCAGTCTTAATGGGGAGGCCTCCTGCTTTACTTCGGTGTTCGGGATGGGAACCGGTGCTATCAGGTACCTGGGGTTAATCCCGTCAGCGACCCAAGCGTTCGCCGGGGGACCCAGTAGGACCCCAAAGCTCAGACAGCTGGATCGAAACACCCAGTGTGAAGCTCTTAGAGGGGCGGGACGTAGAGTGAGACGACAGAGAGACAGAGAGAGACTCAGACAGAGAAGAGGTTTGGTGGGAGCTTCTTGTTTTCGTAGGGTTGGTTGTGTACCCCATGGTACCCCCACTGTCCGGCGCTCCCGTACCGAACATACAGCGTTTTAGGCCAGCTTCAAAGGACTTATCATCGCCTCCCCGACGAGTCAAGGAGGCACCACCCGCAACCACACACCGGATGGTCTGGATTGATGGATCAAATACTCCATCGCTCCAGTGCCGAGGCCAACCCGCCGAAGCGGATTGCTTTTTAGACACCCACAGCGGAGTGGCCAGGTGAATGTGACTCTGACCACTACGCTATCACGCTTGTACGTCTGGCAGCGTGTTGGACGACGGGTTTGAGTTGCACTGGGAGGAAGGCGGTCGAAAAATGTAATGAAATGATGGGATTCGATCCCCGGACCCCGCCATCGGGATCACACGACTTTACGCTCTCGGCCACCACGGCCCATGATGAGGGAACGGCGTGAGGTGGGTTCTTGACGCAACAGGACTCGACCGACCCGGTCAAAATTTCGCAAGAAGTTGGGGGAGTCGAACCGCCGACCCTAGCATTGGGAACCGACGCCTCTACTCCCTGGACCACCACGTCCCATGCACGGAGCGGGCTCACGTGCACGGGTTTCAACCGCACTGGGAGGGGCAGTAAAATTAAATGGAAATATTTGTTAGGAGTCGAACCTCCGGCATGTGGGTCTGTTGCACACGGCTCCGCTCGGATTGCCTCGAACCACCACCCTTAGGATAGTAAGTCGAAAAAACGTATGTGACGCTGGTATTCGAACGCCCGCCTGCGGTAACTCGATCCCACGTCTCTAACCTCTCGGCTATCACAGCAGTTGTGAAACGCGACGGATCATCTGCTTTCATTAACGTTCGTTGAATGAGATTTTTTCTTGCGAATTTGTCAGGTGAACTACGTGCGCTACGAGCATTGCTGGCGGAGCGGCTAAGCGGCGCGGTGCCGGTGATGAATGATCGGACATTCCTGCTGCAGGTTGCAGCACCGCGCGCCGCGCCGAGCCGAGCGAGCTGAGCAGCCGGATGACGCCAAGCTGCGTGCGGCGGGGCGGGGCGGAGAACGGCGGCGTAACACGGGGTAACAAGGTGTAAGAGGGTTGAACACACGCTTCCCGGGCAGGGGGAACCACCCGACTGTGTCAGCAGCATCCCGACCACTTCAGCGCTAGACCCATTCTCTCTCTCCCCCGCAATCCCGTTCGGAATGCGCCGCTTCTCTTCGAAAATGAACACTAGGAAAAAGAAAAGAAGAAACTGGGAACGAAGAAAGCAACATGTCACTGTTTCAAAATCCACTCACGCCACCGTCAGCACATCAGCAGCGCAAGCACACTTTGCTTTGTTCGTGACATCAAATAAAAACGCAAAAATGTTAACGAGCGCGGGTGTTGGTCGCGTTCAAACGGACCACCCCACCAGTAAGTGGCAGCAGCAGCGTGCGCCGCCAACGCGTGCAGGGATGGGCTCCACCGGGGCGCCTGGCGGCAGGGTGGTTCACTGGGAAAAGCGTTGGCTTTTGCGTTGCTTTGCGTATGCCGGGCCCCCGCCATGCAGTACGACAACGCTGCGCCCGGGGCAAGCCTGGGGCGCCTGGCTTCCCGCGCGTTCCATTATTTCGCCGAGTTTCCTCACCAGTTTGTATTTTTACCGCCCGATGCGCCCCGCCCCGCCTGCCCCGCCCCGCCCAGGGTGGCCACCCCTCCCGCCGCATTCCAGGGAGACAAAACGCGTCCTTGAGGCTGCCGCTCTGCGCTGCGCCCTATAGCGGGTTGCAGCCACAGTAAGAACGGCGGCGCAGAGGAATGTTTTGCGTTTTGTAACGACAGTAGAAGCACTTTCGCGCCCTCTGTTCGTCCGGCGCCCCGCGAGCCACTGGCAATGGCGCGGGTTCGAATCCCGGGCGTGGTGCGTGTCGTTTGGCATGCTGTTCCCCGAAGCCGCGGCCGCCGGGCTCGGTCCGGCAGGGTCCGGCTCGGCTGCATTTCGGCCTTCGGGGCCCTCGGGGCCTTCGGGAAGGGCCTCGCGTTGCTTCCTTGTCGCACCCGAGCCGAGGGCCAGCCCGGCGCGACAGAGACAGAGAAAGCAGCGGGCGGGGGCGGGGTCTAGGGGTTGGGCTCGCCTACCTGAGGGGTGGGGGAGGGTGACGGGGACGTATATAAGCCAAGGGCTGGCCGACGAAGACTCCACTAAGATTTTCATGTTGAGTGCATCACGTAGCGGACACTGTGCCGTCCAGTGGAAATGGTGGTGAGTGCGTGTGTGTGTGTGTTTGTGTGCAGTGCAGTGTTAGTGCATCAGTGCGCCCAGCCAACTTGGACCTTTCGGACTACATTTCACCTCCATCATCGCATCGACAACTATTGTGGAACTGTGCTGGTTTTTGTTTCGAAATCGCCGACAAACTGTATACTTGGAAAGTGGAAAGTACTCGTTTTGCGGAGTCCATACATACTCGCGCGCACGTATGAGTGTGCTGCGGGCGCGTGTGTGTGTGTGTGTGCGTGTGACGCGGGCTGCAGCAGCACAGTATTGCGTCGTTCGTATTCAGAAGTTGTGTGTACATGGTGCCGAAAGACCAGTCATGATCAATGAGATGTGCTGCAGGAAATAGCAACCGGGGGGAAGGAGGGAGGGCCATAAAAATGGGCATGTCGCGAGGATAAAAGGACGGTTCACCGAACGCGTGGCGTCGCGTCGCGCGTATGTAATATCTCGATGGCGGCGCGCGCGGCGGGCCGATGCAGGGCGCCGCTCCGGTCGCGCGGTCGCAAAGGGGTCAGACGCCCTGTGTGGGCGACCGCCACTCTGTAACTGTTGAAATCGGTTAAAACTAAGTTTGAAACGCTTGAAATTGATCGAAGAGATGAAATATCGCCAGTGTGGCGGTGCCTCCCCGCCACGCGATCGCCGCTGCCCGACCTTTCCCGAGGAGGCCTAGAATCTAGAGTCCGCGCGCGGGCCGCGAGGCGAAGCGGCCGAAGCAGCAATCTTGTTATCCGAAGCCGATCGCGTTCTGCTTACAATGGGGCGCAGCGCCGCATTCGAACGGCCTAATTGCGGTCGTAAAACGAGTCCCTCAGTGTAGACACACTGTGTAGACTCCCCGGATCCGATTCCGCCAGTGCGTCATGCAAACGGTTGCCGCCGCGGTAACTGAATTGTGCACCGCGTCGTTACCGCCGCTCCGAACGAGGAAGTACGACGCGCTCTTTGCGCCCCGCGACGCCGCGGCCGCCCGCAACGAAGGCAATCCCGGATTCCGAACGCTCGTTTCTCGTCGCTCCGTCTCTGTCGCACTCACGGGGCGTGCCAGCTTGGGGTGCGAGAGAGACAGTGAGGTAACGATTTCTTGGAATGGCGCTCAGCAGGCCGTCCCGACCTCCACGCGCGGCGGCGGAACTCAAAATCACCGCCAGGCCGCCCCCTTTAGCCGCGCGAACGTGCCATCTCGGCCGGTGCGTGCCCGCGGCGTCGCTCTATTCGTAATTTTTATCCCCCGCATTCTTTTCCTTTTATTTCTCGAGAAAAAGCGCGGCGTCTCTTCATTTTATCTCGCGGCCGAGAGAATAGCGCGGCGCGCTGCATCTCGCCCTCAGGCCCCAGGTCACGTCTACGTCGCGGCCACCTTTAGCCCGCCTTTAGCGCTGGCGTTGCGTGCCGGTTGCCGGCCAGGGCGACGCCGACGTCCTCCTCCGCCTTTCTTCGACGCGCTGCTGCAGGCCGTCTCTCTCGCACTCGTGGGCCGACGCGGGGGCGCGAGAGAGACGGAGCGATGTTCGGAATGAGTCCGCGGCTCCTGGAAATGGCACCGACACCTCGGCCGCCGCGGCCGAACAGAAGCAGCGCTTCGGCGCCGTGCTTCCGCGGCGCCTTTGGCGTGGGCAGGGCCGTGCAGGGCCTTGGCGGCAGGCGTGTTTGCAGAACGGTGGCGCAATCCCTGCACTCGTGTCATTACGGTTCGTATTGACCATCCCGACGCCCCGTGGGGCCTCGTGGGGCCTCGTGGGGCCCTGCACCGCCAGCCGCGCCGCCAGCCCGGACGGTAGCGCGTCGTTCATCAGGGAACATGATATTTGCTTTCGCGGGGGCGTCGCGCCCCCCCCCCCCCCCCCTCCCCTTTTCCTCCCCCGGGCCTTCTTCGCTGCGGTTTGGCTCCGCGGTGTGCCGCCGCCGACGCGCGCCTCACACACACACTCACACACACACGCGCGCGCACCAGAGGTATTCAGGAGTGAAATTTAATTACATAAAAAGGCGTTAAAACAAAGAGGGGTAGCGAGGGGAGGGGTGGCGGCAAGAAAAAGAGACAGTCAAGTCTCCGACGCGGTGTTCGGTTCATTAAGTCGAATCTCGTGGCCCGCGGCGCAAGGCGATGCTGTTCACCAGGGTGGCGCCGTGGCGCAGCGTTTTGTGCCGATGGGGTACGAAATTCCCGCCGCGCACGCCAACCGCGCGGAACAAAAAAGAATAGATTTCGACCGAGCCAGGGCACACGTTACTTGACTCGCGGCACGACACGAGACAAATGCGGCGGCAAAAAAAAAGGCAAAAAAAGAAGTAGGTCGACACAGAAATGCCCCGCTGAGCCGAAAAATCAACTTGCATCTAGTATGGTCCAATTAATTCGTTTCGTTTTCTTCCCCTAGCTGCGGGTGAAATACGGGGAAGCCCAGTGGGTGGGCGTGGACGGGGTGGGGTGGCGGTGTACAGCGACGGCGCGGCGACGCGGCGACGCGGTGGCCGTGTCGCAGGCGTAGTCGGGCGAAGAAAAAGTCCAAGACCAGGCCGGCCAGGGCGGGCTGGGTGTCCATTAATTTGGGACGTGCGGCGGCAACGTTGTCTCGCAGCGGAAGGGCGGGGAAGGGCCAGACATGGTGGTGGCCCTGCGGCCCCAAAGCGCGGCCCTTTCGCTCCCCTTTCTCCCTACGCACGCCCCGCCCCGCCCCGCCCCCGCCAGCACATGCAGCCCACTTTTACCTCGCAAGGCCAGTAATGGGTGCGAGCAGGCAATCCCTGCCGGTGATGCGATCGGCCGGCACTCGCAGACACCTGTCGGCGATGGGCGCGTCGCGTCATCGCTGTCGCCCGGGACGAACCACGCAGGCTGATCCCGCTCCGCCCCCACGCCTCCCCATGAGTGCGCGAGAGGGACGGAACGATGTGTGGAATCAGTCAGGTGATAAGTTGAGCGGTTCGGTTCGACCCACGCTGAATGGCGAGCTGATCCAAACTGAATGTTCATTACTGCTGATTTGTCCGCGCCTGTCCTGTGTCCGAGGGAGAGAGACAGAGAGAGAGTGCAGTCCGTAAGCGGCTTAGGCGTGTTTGCTCTTCGCTAATGCCAACGCCCGGCCCAGGCAATGCCCAGGCATTACGCTGCATTCGTGTATTCACTCTCACCGCGTCGGGAATGCGCCTTCGCCGTCTCCGTGTGGTCCAGCAGACTGATTCCGAACCGCGTTTCGTCTCCCTCGCACCCCCACGGCACACGGGGCACGCCCTACAAGTGCGACGGACGCAGAGCGGCGAAAGCACTGTTCGGAATCAGACTGGCCCTCGCCGCCCTCGCGCACGTGCGGTTCCGGGAGTGGCGTCTTAGCGTCGCCGTCGACGACGTCAACGACAACCACAGCGTCTTTGTGTTGCTAATCCCGTCCGTCTGTTCGCAGAGCACGATGCTGTCCCGCGCTGCCCTGCTGGTGGCCGCGCTGTCCGTCGCGCTGGCCGCCGAGGAGTCCCACATCATGCGCGTGGGCCGCCAGGGCGTGTCCCAGCTCCCCGCGGGCCTGCCCCAGCTCCCCGCCGCCGTCTCCATGATCCCCATGACCGCTGAGGACGCCGCCGCTGCCGCCGCTGCCCAGACCCCCGCCGACGAACGCTCCCTCAAGCTCCTGCCCAAGGCCGGACTGCTCAGCAAGTTCGCATTCAAGCCCAAGTTCCCCTTCGGCCTGAAGGACAAGCTGCCCCTCAGCCTGAAGAAGAAGCTGCCCGTGTTCCTAGGCGGCACCGCTGCCGCTGCCGCCGCGAGTGCTGGTGCCGGTGCCGCCGGTGCCGGCTCCCTGGGCGCGCTGGGCATCCACGGCCTGGACTTCGGCAAGCTTGGAGGCGACGCCGCTCTGCTGCACCAGTACCCCGTGTGGAAGGTGCACCGCTACAACGGCATCGACCTGAGGCCCGTGCGCCTCGGCGCCCCCGCGCCCGGCGGTCCTTACCCTGCGGCCGCCCCCGTCGCCGCGGCCCCCTACGCCTTCGAGGAGCCCAAGCAGGTGTACGGACCCCCTCCCAAGGAAGTCACCGTGCCCGAACCCGTCTACGGACCTCCCGCCGAGGCCTACGGACCCCCTGCCGAGACCTACGGACCCCCTGCTGAGACCTACGGACCCCCTGCCGAGACTTACGGACCCCCAGCCCAGACCTACGGCCCCCCTGCCGAGACCTACGGCCCCCCCGCCGGCAACGCGGCCGCCCCTGCCGGCGACGCCAACGAGGGCCTGGAGGCGCTGTCCCAGCTCGGCGCCCTCACCGACCTCCTCCCTGGCGGTGGCGCCGCGTCCAGCGGCCCTCTGGCCAGCCTGGGCCAACTCGGCACCCTGCTCGCCACATCCGGTCGCTCCAAGGGAGAGATCCTGTCCACGCTGGCCAAGCTCAAGGAAGGCTTCCCCGACCTCATCAAGTCCGCCGTGGCCCCCGCCCCCGCGCCCGCCGCGGAGAGCGCCGTGTACCACCCTCCCGCGCCCACCGGCATCCACGGCCTGCTGCAGGGCCACCCCCTCATCTCACACATCACCAACGGCCTCCGCGGCGGCGCGGCCTCCCACGTGGCGCTGCCCCCTCTGCCCGAGCTGCCCACCCTGCCTGAGATCAAGGGCCTGAAGGAGATCCCCGGCATCCCCGCGCTGCCCCACATCAAGCTGCCCACCAAGTACATCGCCCAGGGAGGCCCGTACGTCAGCGTGCGCTACCCGACCCAGCAGTCCGCCGTCAGCCCCCGCGGCCAGCTCCCCATCCCGGCCTCCGCGCAAACCTTCGCCCCGGCCCAAACTTTCACCGCACCGGCCGCCGCCCCCGCGCAGACCTTCGCCGCCCCCGCCGCCCCGCAGACCTTCACTGCCTCCGCGCCCGCACCCGCCGCGCCCGCCACATCGTACTCCGCGCCCAGCACCTCGTATTCCATCCCCGCTCCCCCCGCCCTCCCCGCCCCCGCCAGCGTCCCCGCGGTGGAGATCCCAGCCGCGCCCTCCGCCACCATGCTGCCCCCTGTCCACCCCGCGCAGACGTACGCCCAGCCCAGCCAGGTCTCCGCGTCCGGGCCCGAGCAGGTCATCCAGCAGGTGGCCCCCGCCGTCAACCCGTCCTTCACCCTGCCCCTGGAGCAGCCCCAGCAGCAGCCCCAGCAGCAGCAGCAGTACGTCTACCAGGTCCCCGTGACCCAGACCGTTAACTCGTACGGCACCCCCGTCGGCCAGGAGACCTACACGTACATCAGCAACCAGCAGTATGCCGCCCCCAACGTGCAGTACTCCTCCCCGGTGACCCAGTACGCCTCCCCCGTGACCCAGTACTCCGCCCCGGTGACCCAGTACTCGGCCCCGGTGAGCCAGTACGGCGCCCCCGACGCCTTCACCTCCGCGTCCGAGCCGCAGGGCGCCTCCGCCGACGCCGAGGGCCGCGAGCAGCAGCAGCCCGAGCAGTCCGAGGAGGACGACGAGCGCGCCGACATCAACCCCAACTCGCGGTCCGACCACATCGACGCCGCCCTGGACGGCACCCTGGACGCCGCGTCCGAGAGGGCCGAGGTGCGCGTGCCCATGCCGTCCGGCGAGACCCACGCCGTGTCCAGCAGCCAGGCGCAGCCCGCCGTGTCGCCCGTCTTCAACCGCGAGGAGCAGGCGCGGCGCCTGGAGAAGCTGGAGGAGATGCGGCAGATGGTGGACCAGATGGTGGACCTGACCGCGTACCTCGACCCCGCGCACCCCGCCTCCAGCGCCTCCAGCGCCTCCAGCGCCACGAGGGCGGCCGACAGCACCGCCACGCGTGAGTATTCAGTACTTTCTAGTTTATACAGACGCGGCGCATTAGTGCGCCTGCCTTGAACCGACATGTCGGCAGGATATTGTGGCCCCGCCGTATCCGCATGTTGCGAAAGCGTCCAACGACCGCGGGGAAAGGGGGGGGGGGGGGGTTGCGGCGACGCCAGCGCTGCGAGGCGCGGCGCTAAATTGAAAGTGAACATCATTACAACGGTGGCAAGCAGCAAGCAGACGGCCGCGGGTTGCGCCACGCGGAGCACGCCGAGCCACGCCGAGCCACGCCGCCGTGCGTCCCCCGGGCAGCGGCAGGCAGAGGCAGGCAGAGCGCGGCGCCACGGCGCGACCGTCGGCCGGCCCTTTGATCGGGGCGTAGTCAGAAACCAGTTTGCGCGCCCCGCCCCGCCCCGCCCCGCCCCGCCCCGCCCCGAGCACCTGTTGCTGCAGCGGCATGCAGCAATAATGCAGCAGGACGCGTGGCGCGCGCCGACATTCGTCCTGGAGACGGTCGCGGACTGCCTCATCGTGTAGGCCGAGCGGCGCGGCGTGACACGCATTCTGCACTGGATGGAAGCGTTTCGCGGCGTTCCGTGGGGCGGCGATTCCGCACGGTCGCGCTGTCTCTCTCGCACCCCTGCGGGCCTGCGCCATGCTCCATGACCCAGGTGTGAAAATCCGCTGTGCCCACAGCGGATCCGCTCCATTTTGAGTGGATCCGCAGAGACTTTACGGGATCCGCTAAGGACTTAGGAGATCCGTTAAGTGCCGAGTGGATCCTGTAAGGGGGCACAGTGGATCCGTTAAGGCCACACCGGATCCGTTTAGGCCACACCGGATCCCTTACGATCCGCAGAGGAGACGATCCGCTTCGTACAGGATCCACTAAGGCCGTGTCGGATCCACTTAGCCCTTACCGGATCCTATAACCTAAGCGGATCCACTACGGGTGTCCCAAAATGAAGTGGCTGTAAAATCGGAAGTTATTGGAATTTTGAGCTCAAAATTTATACAGGGCATGCTGAAGAGAATTCACTAGGGCCATTTGAATTTCATTGCAATCGAAGAACATGATTTCGCTATCCCGAAAACCGCTGATGTTAGCGAAAAACGGATTGCAGATTTGGATCGGACTTCGTTTCATTAACCTAGGACCCAATTTTCAGAATTTTAATCCTTCGTACAGTCTTTAAAATAAAGGGTCGTAGGTGACTGGATCCGCACTGTACCAGATCCTCTTCGTACCTCGATCCACTCCCTAAGGTGTAAATTTCGCGGGAGCGGATCGGCTTACCTAAGCGGATTCATTACCGGATCCTTTTTTAAGTGGATCCTCCAACAATACTGGATCCACTGAGCTGAGCGGATCCGCTCCCGCGAAATTTACACCTTAGGGAGTGGATCTTCACACCTGGGGAGCGCGAGAGAGACAGAGCGACGACACTGTTCGGAATGAGCCCGCGGGCCGCGTTGTTTGCGCTGCACTCGCGCGAGCGGCGAGCGCACTGATTCTGATTCGCATGGCGCGGGGTTTTGCCTTTTGAAAGCGTTGCGTCACTACACTGCCTGCGCGGCCTCTGTCTCCGTGCGAGTGTCTCTCTCGCTCTTGCTAATGCCAGCGATTTGTCGTCTCTATTGGTTACAGAAGTCGATGCGACGGCCGCGCCGACAGCGCAGAGCGAGGCCCGGCCCCCCAGCAGAGCCTAAGGAGGTGAGTAACAGCCCAAGGCCCAGCCGTCTCTCTCGCACTCCCGCGGGGCGTCCCGCGAGAGACGGAGCTTTGTTCGAATTCAGCTGACTGTGGGACAGAGTAACTGCAGCCAGCCGAAAGCAGATTACTGCCGTGATGGCGAAACGCAATGACCCGGCCCGGGTTCGAATACCGGCTTCTGTCATTTTTTTCCCGCGCTCGTCTCGAGTCGCTCTGGCGGTGGTTCCCTCACAATGACGCGCTAACGAGGCGGCGTGCCGCGCCGTGCCGTGCCGCGCCGCGCCGTGCCCACTGCCCGCGCGGCGATCACTCGGATGATGTCGCCACCGCCACACGCCATTGGGCAGTGCGTGGCCGACGAGCACGCCCGCCCATTTGTCCGAGCCACCGCTCCGATAAGAGCCGCGCACTCGCGAAATGGCCGCCCCGGCCGGGACTCGAACCCCGAACCCTTTCCGGTCAATCCGGCGGCCCGATCGGACCGCGAGCGCTATCGCGACCTAGCCCCGCGACCGCGGCCGGAGATTGAGGGAAGCGGGAGAACGTCGACGTTGGCAACCGTGCCACCGTGCCGCCGCCGAGGCCGCCGAGGCCGCGCGCCGAGCGTCCGCGCCGCCGCGCCGTTTGGCGTTCTCGCGATGATCGCTCATCAACTTTGAAAGCGGCTGCCCGCCGGGCCGGGCCGGCCGGGTCGGCCAGGGCTTGCCAGGGCTCCGGCGGCGTCGCCGCGGGCGGCCGGGCGGCGACAGCAGTTGTTAAAATGTCTAGAAGTGATGTGATTTCGTCGTTGGCAACTCGTTGCTCTCCGGGGGCTTTTGTTGCCGTCATCTCGAAATCTGGCGACGGATTCCGTCGTCCCGCGGCCCAGGCCTCGATCCGAGATTCGTTTCAGTCGCTCCGTCTCTCTCGCACGCCTTCGGCACGTCCCACGAGTGCGAGCAGGACAGAGCGTCGAAAACGACGCTCGGAATCAGCCTGCAGGGCCTCGCCGGGCTTCGCCGGGCTCCGCGGCCGGCGCGGCGCGCAATCCTTCGCGGCCCGTGCCGTCCCGTGCCGTCCCGTGCCTCCGCCCCGACTCATTCTTTGTCCTCGTTTCCAGGTCGCAGAGAAAACGACTCGCCTGATTCCCGCCGCCTGAAACACCGGGGGCGTCGGGGAGCGTCGGCGACGTCAGCGACGTCAGCGCGCCCGCTGGCGTCACCGTCAACAAGAAGTGCGGAGCCGCGGAGCCGCGGACGCGCTGCTGCAGCCATCCTGCTGCTTGGCCGCGAAGCACCGCCAAGAGATATGCCGGCCGCCCGCGTCGCCAGCGCCACTTCCACTCTGTTTTTATGTTTTCCCTGTGTAGATATTGTGCGATTAATTTATTGAGGCTGGCGCCAGGCGCGCGGGCTGCCGGCTCGGTGCCGTTCCGGTGGACCCGAATCCGCGACAACGCGCGCGCAACGCGTGCGCGGGCACGCGGTCGCTATTTATTTGTACAACAATCGCAATTATTTTATTGACTCGGCCGAGTCGTAAAGAGTATGAAGCGTTGAATGCTTCCCATTTGTTTTGCCGGCGTGGTCCGGGGCCTTGCGCCACACCACGCCAGCTCATTGTTACTATTTATATCACTAGAATAAATAATCAATTTTTGTTAGCATATGAGGTTGTTTTCACTCCCACGTCAAACGGTCGAGTTGCCGTTCTCCAAGGTCACCACAGCACTGCATTCACACACATTTCGCTCTGCAAAGACATTTCACAAGCCGCCACACTGCGAGCAGGTCGGTGCACCGACTCCAAACAAGCCTTGCGCCGCTCTGGCTCTTTGGCACTCATGGCCCGTCGCCTACAGTGTGAGAGAGACAGAGCGCTGTTCCGAGTCGGACGAGCGCCGCGCCGTCCCGCGTTGCTGATATAGCGCGGCGGCCCGCCTCGCGACGCGACGCGAAAGTGTTGGACTCCCCGGCGCCCACCAGTCACACATATGGGGATATAGCTCAGTGGTAGAGCATTCGACTGCAGATCGAGAGGTCCCCGGTTCAAACCCGGGTGTCCCCTGTCCTTCTTTTTGTGATGGTTTCTACCAGCGTTTGATTCGAGTCGTAATTTGGTGGCATGAGAGCTGAGCACATGATTAGCCCGAAGTGCACTGGGTCCGTGCATGCAGGCGACACAAGGAAGCCGCAGAACTTGCAGTGTGGGCCCCTCGGAATAGCAGCGCCGAGCTGCCGGTCATCTATCGGTGACGTCATCGCGTCGTCATGGCGGCAGGAAATCGGGAAATCGGGGCCCTACATCTCGCCAAACTGTTTCTAGGCGCTGACGGCGCGTCAACGGCCGTTTTTTTTCCTGTTTTTTTCTGCGGCAGCGATTCAACGCAACGCCCTCTGAAAGTCTTGTGGCGACATTATTCATTCACCGTAGTGGCGAAGATTATCCATAAAATTCGTTCATCGGAAGACATTTAGAGTGTGAATCCGGGACAAACCACAGTGCCGAAGGGTCATTCTGGCGTACAGCGTCTATCCAAGACCACCGAGGCCTTCGAGCCAAGGGCAGCCCGAGGTGCAGCCAAGGGCGTCGTAGGGGGCGTTCACCAGCAGACCCATTCCGAACGCTTTCGTCGCTCTGTCTCTCTCGCACTCGTTGGGAGTACTGAGCGCACTGCTTGCTGCAGGTGCTTTGCCTCATTACGCTCTTCCCCGGACCGTGGCATTCCGGGCCGAGGCCCTCCAAGGCCTTCCCAAGGCCCCGCGCACGGCCGCGGCGGCCACGGCGGCCACGCCACCCGGAGGCCAACAACCGCCAGGATTGGCCCGGCTGCAGCACGCCGCCGAGCGATTCCTAAGAGTCGTTTCGTTTCTCTCTCGCGCCCCCACGGGACGCCCGCGTGAGTGCGACAGAGACGACACGACTCGTCGGCCTGCAGGTGCGCTTCTCCCAACCTCATCGCGGTGCGGTGTGCTCTGACTCGCCCTGACCCCCGAGGCCGCGACGTGCCCGTCGGTCCACCGCATCCCGCCGAAGTCCTGCAGACTGATTCCGACCAATTTGATTCGTCACTGTCTCTCTCTCTCTCGCACCCATGCTCATGCATGCCAAGCCCCCATGCCATCAGTGTGAGTGGGACAGAACGAAGAAAGCAGTGGTTGGAGCAAGTCTCCAGTTTGTTACTGGTTTCGGCCGCCCACCCGCACCCGGTCCGCGCGTGAGAGTTCGGCCCGGCCCTTCTCTCCATCTTTCGCTCTTCCGGATTCTACTGAAAATTGACTAAGTTACTTCACCCGTCCTTTCTCGGATCCACGCTTGCCATTTTCACCCAAAAACATTTACCCCAACAAAGTGAGCTCACAGCTGTTGTCTTTCTCGTTTTTTTCTGATTTATTTTTTTTCCGACGGGGGGGGGGCGGTGATTGAGTTGGGCTTGGGGCGTCCGAAAGGTCCGCAAGGTGGGGTAAATGGACGCGGTGGTAACTGCCGTTGACACGTCGAGAGGCCGAGCCGAGAGCCGAGCTAGAGCCGAGCCGACCCGAGCGCGCTTTCGGTTTCCGGCGTGGTCACAATGGACGCGTGGGGAAGGGGAGGGGGGGGAGAGAGGAAAAGGTACAAGAAGAGCTTAACATGCCTTGGAAAAATGGCCGCGAAGGAAAATAACTTGTCTGCTTCGTCGCTTGTACATTGTATGCTGTACAGTAGTTTACCTTCCTGGCCTGTCTCGGCCAATCCTAGGCCAATGAGGCGCCCCCCCCCCTCTTTTCCTCTCCAGCACCCCTTTCCCACCTCGGGCTACGGCAGGATGCGGCTTATCTCGCGCCAGCTTGAAGCGTAATTTCATTTCCAGGGGCCTCTCCGAACCTCTCGCTGCGTGGCACTACGTGGCACTACGTGGCACGTCCCCCCGACGCCCCCGCGCCGCGCGCCGAACTTTATCTCCGGTCGAAACATCCCCCAAATGTCACCGGATGCGGTGCCTCTTCGCTCCGTCCCTCTCGCACTCGTGGGGCCCCCGTTGGGGTGCGAGGGACACGAGGCCTCGGAGTCGGCCTGCTGATGAAGCTGTACAAGCACGTGTCCCGCACCGCGACGCCCCGGAGGTCGTCGACGACGACGACGGCACCCTTCGCCAACGAACCCCGAGGATTCACCAGGGGTGGGACGGGTGTGGCGGTGGAGGTGGCGGCGGTGACGGGCAGACAGAGGCCCCTGGACATCACCGGGACACACCGCGCACCGCGGCCGGCGGCTCTCGGCACAACCCCATTAGCCAGCCCCCTCCCCCCTCCCCCCAATCTCATCAACTACTGCTGAAATGTTTCTCGTCGGAGGTAAAATGCGTCGCAAAATCCGGGAGGGGGAGGGGGAGAGGGGAGGGGGATTTAAGTGGCGTCGATGGTGAGTGAGGCGTCCATTATTAACGGGCATGTAATTCCAGGAACTGGAGCAAAGCCCCGCTAAACACCGGCAAACGCATACCCCGGGAACGCTAAATAAACGCCAACAACAACACACACTGCATCACAACTTTATTCCCAGCGTTCCGTCCAGGTTCCGTCTGCTTGATCTGAAATGGGCGAACCCGTTTCACCCATGCGCGTCGATCGCGACGTTACCTGCGCGTGAATGACGCGTTGGGCGCGGCGTGCCACCACATTAATTCACTCGCTAACAAGTCTGTCGCATCGCCAAGTCCATCAAGCAGGAACGGCTTTGGTTTGTGGGTGGGCGCGCGCAGCGTTCGCAGGGTTCGCGCTTCCCCGCGTCTGGCTGCGGCTCCACTGGCTCCTGCATGCGAACGGCAACCTGATTCCCCCAAACCGCGCTTTCGGCGCTAGCTGCATCTGTCTCGCAGCCGTGGGGCGTCCGCGAAGGCGTGCGCACCGGAGCACACACTGATTGTGCCGAACAGCGTTTTTAGTAGAAACCAACAAAACCAGTAAAAGGTTTACCTTCAGACACCTTAATCAGCTACAGCCCTTCCGTTGCTTTCTTTTACGCCCCGTGCGTGCGAGAGAGCCAGGGTCTGGCCAGCCGACGAGACCGTGGGCAAATTTTGACAGTAAAGTCTCGCACCTTCTGCCGTCCACTAGCACGGTGCGTCACCCACCACTGCTCGCGGAATTCCCTGAAAAAGTGGAATAAAACCATGCGTCCGCGTTTTACGGCTGTCGATGCGGGTGGCGTGCCGCGTGGACGCATGCACGTCGTGACTCCGACTGCGTGTCCACGGCGTGTCCACAGCGTGGCCTGGCCCTTGATAAAAGATCCGCCGCCCCAGCGCTGAAAACCTTTCTGCTGCCATCGTCCTCGCGACCAGCACCTTGGCAATGAGGGTCCTCATCTTCGTGGCGCTCGCCGTCGTCGTCCTGGCCTGCTCCTTCGTGAGTTCAACAACCTGACATATGCTTATGAGTACTTTCTCCATAGACCCTTCTCTTTTAAAAAAGGACACATATTTTAAGTGTCGGGTAACTTCATTTCGTCATTGCTTCTAATAATGCGCAAGTTATTGCAATATTTTTTGGGGTAGTTGTCTTCGTCCCGGGTCTCCGGGTTGCTGCGATATGTTCCCAACTTGTCTTTCAATCCTTATTTGTGTTGCCAGGCGGGCCAGGCCGAAGCGCGGCCTTCCTTGGATGAGTCAACGAGGCTGCACCGCCGCTCACCAAATAACTTGATCGCGGCGGTACGTAAACTTTCAGAGTGCGGGGCGCCCCGTGGAACCACGGTGGAACGCCTTCGCCACGAGCAAGGGGTCCCTCACTTCCAATTTTCCTGTCCTCTGCACGGATCGTTCGGATTGTCGGACTTAGCTGTCTTGTTTCCGGACGCCGTTTGCCTACTTACAGACCGGATATTGTATTTTTTTTTTTCCTCCGATGTGTACACGGATTGTTGTCGAAGTGCCAGCAGATGGCCCCTCACTGCTTGCTTTGCTCGCGCAGGAACTGAAGCAGCTGAGGAAAGGCAGGGTCCCCGTGGAGACCCTCAAGGTGAAGCGCGACGCTCCATTCCTGCACCCCGAGACGCCTGAGCAGGCCTTGCTGCTAGGCCGCGTGGGCCGCGAAGTCCGGCCCGCCTTCGTGGACGCCATGCTCAGCATGAAGGTCTAGACCAGCCGCCTCTCTTTTCCTTTTGTCCGACATTAAAGAAGAATATTAACTGTCCAGTCTCCGCTCTCTGTGGACTCACCTCGCCACTCGCCACCGACACATGGATACGTGGCAGAGAAGAGCTCAGGGACCCGCCGCCTCTGGACGAGCAGACGCCACGCCACCGTACCAACACTGTTAAAGGGAATTCCCCGAGAACTAGAAAACAGATTGCCTGGAAACTTCACGTTTTGTCTCCATTTTGTGTCTGCGTAGTCTCTGGCAGGTGTTGAGCAAAGTCGGTCTTTTAGTCAAACGAAGCCTCCGGAAATTCCCATCGGAGAGTTTCCAATTTCTTTTTTAACAGCGAAGTAAAAGGGAAACGAAGGGACGGGCCGCGGACGCACCGTGCATTAGCCTTCGATGCATCATATCGGGGCGTCTAGTGGTCACTGCGGCCTTCGGTGATTGTTCTCTAGACCGGCGGTGCGTTGTCTGCTTGTCGGCTCGTCGGCTCCGCTCGGCTGCCCACGACGCCGGCGGCCAACTGCTCGGTGAGACCCTCCAGGATCAGGTGCACTCAGCTGCCCACCAAACAATCGCGAACAATTGAACCAGATCAATTTTCACGTCTGCTGGCGCTGACACACGCGAACTAGTTCCTCTGAAGACAAAACCTCGCCTGCATGATAAGTGCAGCGTTCACTGCATCTAATGAGTGCGAGAGAGACGGAGCGACGCCGACCGCGCTGTCCGCGAGACGAGCGACCGCCCATGCATAAGGTTCACTTTTGTCCACGAATGAAATGCGGGGCGCGGAGCGTCACAGTGGCCTGTTTCTGAACAGTGTGCTTCGTCGCTCTCTTCCTCTCGCACCCTTACGGTGCACCCCACGAGCGCGAGAGAGAGGGAGCGAGGGACCCCTTTTGGAACGCGGGGCGTAAATCTCAGCCGGAAACAAAAAGGGTGCCCACTCCCTGGCTGGCTGGGGTAGGAATGCATGGGGCGGCTCTCCCAAGCTGCAAGCGCTTCGAGTTGACAGAGCGACTGTCGTCTCTCTCGCGCTTACGGGACGCCCCATGAGTGCGTCAGAGACGGAGTGACGGAACACCGCTTCGGACCGACGAGCCTACTGCCGCCCGGGACTTTAACTCTGCTCACTCTTCAGCCGACGAGCCCCGGTAGCACACCGCGGCCTTCTGCTGACCTTCTGCGTGGAGTGATTGCGCTCGTGCTCCTGTCTCTCTGTTTTCTCTCTCTCACCCCCGGGGCGCCCCATGTGTGCGAAAAGGACAGAGGCACATTCGGCCTGCGTGGGGGCGTGGCGGTGTGGCAGATTCATGCGAGGCAGCCTCGCGTTTTCCAGTGTCGTGCTGGAAATCCAAACAAATTGCGACCGAATTAAAGCGGCAGCGACTGTCCTAGTGTCCTGTTGAGCTGCCCTGTTCGCTTTTTTGTGCGGTCCCCTTTTGCCCTACGATACACGACGTGTGGGGCGAGGGCCGAGAGTCGAGTCAGCGAGTCGGCGCAGGCAAGGCAAGGCTGGCCGAGGTACTCGTTACAGGGAGTTTACGAAGGCCGTCTCCAAGGACGAGGAGGCTCTTGGGGTGGGTGCAAATACGGCCCCCCGCCCCGCTGGCTGGCTGCCTGGCTGCCTGCCTGGCTGCCTGGCTGCCTGGCCCACGCGCACGCTGCCGGCCTATCTTTGCGTTGCTGGACTAGTTTGCATTCGGCGGCCATTAGTTGCTATTATCTCGCTGGCATGACGCTCCAGGTGGCGCGGCACAAGCAGAAACGCAGGCTCCATACGAAAGGGGGAGGGGGAGGAATTCGGGCTAAATATTTCACTTACGAAACTTCAAAGTGAGTTAAAGACTTTAGCATACTTCTCCGTTGGGCTTCAGCTCGAGGCATCGGGCGAGGCGATCATAACATCATATACAAAATAGTTGAGTTCACAGCTAGAAAATGACACATCGCGTTGCAAAGGGCCACAGTGTAAAGGGGAAAGGGTGGGGGTGTAAGTAGGCAGCAGCCCCTCGTTTCCAGTGTGACTAACAGTAAGTTTACTCCCCGAACTTACGACCGCCCCCCGCTGGCCAAATGACTAGCTGGACCGGCCATTGCGACGGAACCGAAGGCCCAGCCGAACGCGTCGCGGCGCCCCACTGGGCCCCCCAGCCCGAACGAGAATCGCCCTGTTCGGAGCAACAGATCGGACTACCAAGGGCATGCCGCCGACGCGCACTCGCTGCGACTGTCTCCGGGCAGAGCTGTCGTCGTCTGTCTCTCTCCAATCACGGGGGGCGAGCTTCAAGTGCGACAGAGACAGGGTGACATCCAGACACGCGCCGCTGGCGACGGAATCAATCCCGACCACAAAAGTGCACTCCGCCGACTCCAGCAGTGGAATCTGTCGAAGCGCTATGGGCTGCCATCAATTCGTGAAGGAGGAGCAGGGGTGGGGGCTGCTATGACGGCTATGGCGGCTATGACGCTCGACCCCCGGCGGTGAGGCTTCGGTCGGGATGACACGCTGTGACGTCACTGAGTGAGTGGACGCCTTGCACCTCGCTCGGCCTGCCTTGGGCCTGCCTGCCTGCAGGGCCTACAGCCTGGGAAAATGGAGCCACGACACCCGCTGCAATCTTTATGGAGGTCTGCGAGTCCAGCCGGCTGGCCGGCCAGGCGGGCGACGTGCGGCCTTTAGCTCACCACTACGTGGAGTGTGATAGCAAGGACCCGGAGGAAGCGGCTCTGGACACGTTTTGAACCCCCACGGTCTTGAAACAAGGACAACAGACTCGAATCGAGCATGGCTTCGCTGATGTTTAGTGCGAATTTCGACCAGCACGTGTCAATCAATAAAACCAAAAACTGAGAATTGCAATTTTTTTTTCGTGTATGCGCGTGTGTGTTGCTGCGCCTGACAGGCGGCCTTTGTCGAGATATCAGCCGCTGTGATGTCGACCTGGTGTCAATTACCCGACAAGGGTCTCGCGATCGAAGCTATCCGCCTCGAAATATCTCCCTATCTTGGGCTGCGCGTTGTGATGCCCCAAGTGGGGCTCCCTTTTCACGAAAAAAGGAAACAGGAAAAGTAAACCGTTGGTCGTCATTAGTACAGGTGTGGCAATTGAATTTGGAGCACCCGTACTACTGTCGTCAGGGCGGGCCTCTATGTTGGCGGCGAGTGACTGTGGGGCTTCTATACTACTGTCGTCGCGTTGGGCCTCTACGTTGGCGGCGAGTGACTGTGGGGCTTCTATACTACTGTCGTCGCGTTAGGCCTCTATGTTGGCGGCCGGTGACTGTCGGGACTCTACTACTGTCGTCTTAGAGGCCTCTAATTTTGCGGCTTCTATACTACTGTCGTCTTAGGGGGCCTCTAGGTGGGACTGTGGGCATCTATGCTACTGCCGCCGTCTCTGGGTGGGCGTGGGTGGTGGGTGGGCGACTGTTGGGCATCTTGACGTTGGGACGTCGGGGGCCTCGAAGGGGCGCGGCGGGGTGTGGTGGGGCGCGGCGTTCCCACGCGCTTGCAGTGTAACACTGGCGGCGCTGTCACACGTCTGCCTCGTCGTCCAGCTCGCTAAGCATTTGAATACAAAAGAAAAATATCTGATAACGCGGGGCGCGATGAGGATCTGGTTCGCTGAAATCGAGAATTTTCCCCCTTTCACCGCGGCGTGGTCTGGACTGAACACTGCAAAAGCGGAGCATAAGCTTTTTTGTCGTGGCACATGCAGAATTAATCAATGAAACCGAATGTCTGCCTCTTTTGTTGCAGCGTTCCCAGGTACCTTAATCCGATTTGAGATGTGACTTACTGGAGGACACCGATGCTACGCCATGCCCATCGCGTTGATGAGCTAGGTCAAGGCCGTCCTCCTGCCGCCCGCTCACTCTCTCACTCCCTCGCATCGAACAGTCCCGGGCCCGCTGCTGCACTGTCAATAGCGACTATCAGACATGCGGGGCGGCGGCCCGGGCGCCGTGCGTTGCTGTGTTTGTCCTACACTCGTGAGGCCGTGTCACCGTGTTTGGCAGTGCAGGGCCGACGTGCCCGCTCTCGGTGCGGCCCGTCGAGAGCAGGCAGCCTGCAGCGTAGGCATCCCGCCGCGGTGGCGTGCCCAGCGGGTCGGCCTACCGCGCCAGGGGCAGCCAGGGGCTTGCACGGTGGCGGTGGCACGTCGCCGCCCTGTTGCGCGCCCTGGCCGTCTGACCCGCGCTGCCCCCTGCGGGGCCCTGCGGGGCCCTGCGGCCTGCGGGAAGAAGGCGCGCGCCAGGCAAATACGATCTTGCGTCCTCGCCGTCCTGGCGGCCCAGAAGGACCCCACCGCGGTCGACGCGCCCGGAGAGGCCGCCGACGACGAGAGTGGCCTCATGCACCTGTGGTTTCGTTCCTGCTTGGCGGAAGGAGGTGGGGGCAGCCGCAGCATCGCCACAGCCCCACCGGGCCGGGTCGGCCGGACCGCGGCCCATATCTGACACACCGAGATGTTCCCACACGGCGTGGCGGGGCGTGGCGGGGCGTGGCGGGGCGCCACTAGTCACACATGACGCAACAACAAGTACTTATCTGTAGTCCGGCTCCGCCCCGCCCCACCACGCCCGGTCCGTGATTAACGATCCCCAGGGCGCCATCATTAGCGGACCCCCGCATCGTACTTATGCACAACGCGCCTTCGGAAAATTGCGTTTCCGGACGTGGCGTGGCGGGGCGTGGTGGGGCGTGGCGGGGTGCGGTGCGGCGTGGTGGAGCGTGGCCCAGTAGCACACTGGCACAATGCGGAGCTTGGTGGGTAAAAAATGGTGCAAAAGTGATGGTGTGGGTGGGTTTCGAACACGGGAAGTTTATAGCCAGAAGAACCAGCCAACCCACAACCGACGCAGTTGATTGCTCTGGAAGTCCAGTTACTTGTTTTGCGAATTTCGTGAAAAATTTTACAAGAAATAAATGTAGTCCTTTCAAAATGGTAGAGGTGAACTCCTAATTTAACGCGAGTTTTGATCAGTTTACCTCTCTTTGCTGCACAACATAGCCGTTGGCCGATCTTCCCTACCGCGCCATCATGTTTCGGCAACAGCATTGAGTATGCGTGTCACCTCACCTTCTCGTCGTGTGAGTCTATGGGTGTGTGCGTGTGCCACGTGCCGTGCGGTGTTCGGCAGAACGCAGCCAGCCGGGGCAGCGCCGCGCGGCATTCCAATGAGTGGGAATCGGGAACCATGTAATGGGGTGGG